GCCCACGCTAATATTATTCTTCTGGTAATTTGGACAGTTTGATTTTCTTTCTTAACTTTCATTATCTGTCCCAGGTAGATGTATTCGCTTACTGTTTCTAAATATATGTCATTCAACGTTATTTTTTTAATGTTCGGTGTATTTGTCATTTTTGTTTTTCCAAGTTCATCTTAAGACCTACTTTTTCTGAAGCTTGAAATAGTTGCGTCATCATGGTCTGTAGTTCTTCGAAACTTGAAGCGAAAATTACAATGTCATCAGCGTATCTTAAATGACTCAGTTTTTTTTTTCATTAACATTTGTTTCTTTATCTGCCCAGTTAGTGTCTTCTAACACGTCTTCCAGTTCCATTGTGAATAGCTTTGGTGAGATAACATCTCCCTGGCGAACTCCTCTGTTGATTGGTATATCTTTGGTTTTCGCATCTATTTGTATTTTCATTGTAGCTTTCTTGTAAATATTATGTATGAGCATTCTGTATCGGGAGTCTATCCTGCAGTTTTTTATAGCTTTTTCTATTGCCCAAAGTTCTATGGAGTCGAATGCCTTCTCATAATCAACGAAGCCAAGGTATAAGTTCAAGTTTTATTCATTGGCTTTTCCTATTAGAGTTCTGGCTGTAAGAAGATGATCCGATGTACTATAATCCTTTCGGAATCATCATATAACACACATTTTTATTTGTTATACAGAGTAGAAAAGGAGGCATGTACGAGCGCTACAGGGAAAAAAGAAGGGATGAAAGAAAAGTGTTTAGAGGTGATGTATGTTTGTTTACTGAAACTGAAAGAATAGTTATTAAGTCGTAAATATGACTAGTGAAAGTGACGGATTTATAAAATGTTGTCACACACGTAGAAAATATGGACGAATTCATGAAGTAAATAAAAAATTAAATAGATATAGCCATGCAATAGGACCGGACTGTAAGTGCGTCAGGTTAAAGTGTTTTTTTACAAATACCGGAACAAGCAATAATTCAAATTATTAGAAAGTTGAACCACATGGAGTCGAAAGATACCCCAAATATAATGGAGACCACGAATATCAGAGGACTCTGCGCGTCTTCATGATGCCGCTTTTAGTTATAAAATCCGTTATAATGTAAATGACGCAACACAAGAAGTTCTAGTATGTAAGAAGCCCTTTTTGGCATTCCATGGAATTCGGAAAAAAGGTAAAAGTTCTACAAAAGTCACTAAAATTGACAGGTCATGCTCCAAAACATACTAGAGGAAGACATGGAAACCACCGTCATCAAGTTTCTATGGAAACAAAAAACTGCATAATGCGGCATATCGGGTCTTTCAGGGGCAGAAAAAGTCATTGTAGCTTGAAAGAATCGTCGAAATTATACTTATCTGAGGATTTCTGTATTAACAAAATGTACACATTATACGTAGACAAATTTTCAGACATGCGTACTTCATACGAAACATATTTATATTAACAAGTATTTTTTCAACTAAATTTAATATTTCCTTTGGTTTTTCAAGGACCGATACGTGTAGTTCTTGTGATGAATATTTAGCAAAAATTAAAAGTCTGTTAGTGTCTATTAGCGAAATCTTTGAAGGAAACAAATAAATTAAATGCTGATATTAAGCAACTACATACAACTACATAAACTTAAAGCCCAAGCATTTTATAACAAAAAACAAGCTGCGAGAATAACTAGTAGAAAAAATGTACACACAAGGACGAAATACATATAAGCGAATTATAAAAATCTGCACGTGAAATCAAATATTAACTGTCTTTTAAACAAGAGAAAACGCATAACTAAAATTCACGCTGGTTCGGAAGATGGATGGGTCCCAAACTGCTTGCTGTTATCTGCGAAGAATATCAAAGACTCTAGCTTGGACTACCATCAAGATACGTGAAGTGGAGAACTTGTTGAAAACTGGTTTTAAAATTATCTTTTAAAAAAATATCCCTAACAATAGTGTCATTGTAATGGATAACGCAAGCTATCGCAGTCGCCAGCTTCAAAAAGCTCCAAACAGAGCAAGTACTAAAAGTGAAATTCTCGTATTGTTATGTTTCGATTATAAATAATATGAGTATTAGAATAACAACATAGATATCTATTAAATAATCATTAATTTTTAACTTTTACAGTGTAGTTTAAATATCTTATTATTGTTATCACTCAGTATTGAATATAAGTTTTAAAATAGTATTAAATAAATGTAATTTTCTTTACAATAAAATAGATGCCCCGAAAAGAAATTGCTATATTATTATTTTTACTTGGAGTCCGCCTCTGATGCCCTGTCATAAAATACCTAGATGGAGATAAGACAATAATCAGGTAAAATTCAAGACGATAAACATTAAGATAGACTTTACCTATCTTGCCAATCAATTTAGTTGATTGCTCTCGACTAGGTAAAAAACGAAATTATGATAAGAGGCCAAGACCTGTAGCCGTTGTGTTTGTAAACAGTTGGATGAAAACAAAAGTGTTTAATCGGAAGAAAAATCTTAAAGGATGCAGTGTCGTGATTAGTGAAATGATTTCTCCTGATTGTCAGGAATTATTAAAAAAAGGGCGTGCATGATTTGGACGCTAAATTTAAATTCGACACTGAAAAATAAAATTTACCTATTTCTGCATACATGATTTGGACGCTGGGTGTAATTGAAATGTAAATGGAAAGTCAGGTAATAAAATTCTAGAGATTAAGCTTGATAAGGTTTATTTGTCACTTTGAAATAAATACGACATACATTTTACGAAATGGAATCGATCGATACAGTTAGTTTGATACTCATGTATCCTATTTCTAACGAACATAATTTTTTTTCTACTCTTTGGATCTTTAAGTCTATTACTATCACTATTACAGACACTATTAATTTTAATATAAGTTTCAGTTTGAAATTTTTTTAAAACATCAATAAAATGGAAAATATTTGGATGAGCATGGTAAAAATTATCATTAAAACGCGAGTGGAACGATTCACAAGCATTAGTTGTTAATTGTAAACTCTCACTCATCGCAGCCCACATCTCCGACGGAAATGTTGCGTGGTCGCCAATGTAGTTGTCCAATAAGTAATATCCCAGTAAGTAATAAAATCCTATCTTACTAATAGATGTCAAGCAGTAAAACTTAATCAAAATATTCCTTCATTTCTATATCTTAATACAGGTGTGCCTCAAGGATCTATATTAAGTCCAATTTTATTCTCTTTATACACATCTAATTTTCCCTCTGTGTTTTTGTCCAATTCACAACATTATTACGCAGACAATACTCAACTCCATATGTCATTTTATCCAAATGAGTGTAAACAAGCAGTAAATGTAATAAATTATAACCTTTTTTATCTTTATTGTTTAAAATTGAATACATCCAAAACTCAGGGTATTATTTTTGGGATGAATCTCCATAGGAAAATATTTTTAGAGAATTATGCCAATCGAATTATCTTGGAATATAGGAAATGAAAATTTAATTTTTAGCTAAAAGATTAAAAGCCTGGGGGTTTGGTTCAACGAAGATTTAAAGTTTACATAACATGTAAGTATTTGTTTACAAAGAGCTTACGCTGTTTTAAAATGACTGTATTAAAGCCGTAATTTATTGAGTTAATGCCTCGACAACTAAGATCATTAGCATGGTACAGTCAGGTACCTAATGTAGTATGCGTGTGTAGAGTAATTGTCTTGATACTTATCGAAGTCGACGTCATTGTCTTTGCTAAGAGACGCTAATTGTATCCGAACGTCTGCGGTCCCTCCAGTGAGTACCGATCGCACAAGAATAGAAATTATTTTCATTTATTAATTTATAATAAACGAAAATTTTTCCACCCAGATGAGATTCGAACTCAAGACTTTTAGGTTTAAAGGTAGGCGCTCTTACCACTGTGCCACAGAGTGGGTTTCTCACTGAATTTGATTTATGGAGAATACAGAAATTGCAAAATTCTTGTTTGCGTTTGATTTTTTGCATCAGGAAATTTCAAAGGATAAGTAATGTTTTCACCGTAGTCAAGTGGCTAAATATGGAAAATCGTCGGAAACTTAATGCTTTATATTTTTACCATAAAATCATTCAAGAGAGAGTTCCATCATACCTGTACAATCGAATAATTTATAGGACTGACGTTCATAATCTTAATCTTAGACACAAGAATACCCTCACTTTACCTAAACATACATGTTTTTTAGACGTTCATTTTCGTATTCAATTGCTTGCAATATTAACAGTTTATCCTACAATATTAATAATCTGTCTAGTGTCAAGTTCAAGATATTAATTTATGAGCAGTTGTTAGCTGAACAGTAATTTAAAAATTTAATAATGAAAAAAAAAACTAGTTTATAATTTATAAATTTAATATGTAATATTGTTATGTTTCATTGTACAATACAATTTCATTATTTAGATATAGTATATCTATGCTATCTTCGGGGGGTTAGGTGGAAGAGCAGTTGTAACCTGAAGGAATATTTCTGTACAGAAGTAGATAAAACGGAAGAAAATATAGCAGAAGAACATGGAGATTTAAATTGTTAGTGTTGAGATTGATGTTTCCATATTTTTTTTTTTTGAAAAGTAAAAGGGACTTATAAAAAAGAAATTAAAAGACATTTACAATATTATATAAACTACAGGCTAGTTAGTGATTTTAGTTAAAATAAAAGGAATAATTATGATGCTACAATCAAATAGGTTTAAACAAGAAAGTTAAAAAATTAGTATATTATACAATAAAAGGATTGTAAGTACGTTAATCAATATGAAAATGTTTATAGAATAAAAGTATATATCCTTATCTTCCTCGAGAGAATAAAAGAAAAACAAAACTGAAAAGAAACTATAATATATACACTTATTGGTCCAAATAAAAAAGTTTCGATGAAAATTTATAAAAAAAAAACATTATTTGTACAATTTTTAAACACAGTTAAATGTATAGCTTTATCGGAAAATAAACAACTAAATGCAGAAAAATGGTCGTTTCTAAATTTGATAACTTACCATCCAAGTGCCCAAACCAATCGCTGGCATTTTCTGTCCGCCTATCATTTTCTTAAACGCCTTTGTAGCCATTTCCGTCAACACAATATTTGACCCAATATATTCTGATTATATTCACTATAAATATCTTCGCTCACTGCCAAGGCAATATGAACAGTGAAAGTTTTCTGCAATGTGAAACTTATATAAACTCGAGGTTCCTAGTTTTATAATAGACCGGTCAACAAAAACAGTAAAATGACAGTAAAATTATCTTATTAGTAATTGTATACGATATATGTTTTATATCACGAAACACTTTTTTGACTTTTTAAAAAATTAATTTATTACAAAAATACAATTATCAAAGTTACGTGTTACAAATACTTAACTATAAAAATATAATGAATGAAATGTAAAGATATAATGAACTACAAAAATGTAATGAACGAACATAAAGAGCGACAAGCGGTTTTATAATATTAGTAAATGCTGACTCAGTGGGAACGTGTAAAAAGCTTGGGTCCCTCTGACTCTGCTGGTACTGCAAGTGCAAGGATCCTCATCGGCTCAGGTTGTTGGAAGTGGAAACCTGATACCCTGGGAATCGTCGTGATAAGGAACATTCATTGGTACAATGCATATAACAGCTCCCCGTTTAGATGAAAGTTGATGCGTGGCAGCAACTTTTAGACTGTATGTTTATTAGTATTCAGTTGGATCTGCTCTTCTTCGTCTATGGAGTCGCTTAGGTGGATACTGGGTCTTCGTCTTGAAAGGATTTTCCTCCAATTCCTGGTGAAGGCTGTCTCTGGGTGTCTTGGTGGAGACGATGGCGCATGGTATGCTTCTATTGATCTGCATTTACATATAACATAAAGAACAACAAGAGTTACAATGACGACTATGGTTAAAATGGTGAACCAGCTCAGATGTTTGTTGACGAATGGTTCATTGATTATTTTATCGAGTTCTTTAGAATACTGATTGAGTTTGTGATGGGCTATCTCGAGGTCTTCAGTATTGATCTTGCTAAGCTTCAGTGGTTTTAAGTCGGAAAGATGGATCTTATCTGGAAAGTGTTTGCAGCAATTGAATGGTATTTGGACTGGGTGACTTCTGTAAGTAACATTGTCGTGGACGTCGATCAATTTCTGAGAGTGTACTCTTTTACTACCAATAAAGGCATCGCACGTAGGTTGTAGTTTAAGTACATGGTTTGTGTAAATAATCTCTGATTTGACGTCACTAGACTCGCATTTGATGGTAATAGGCAGTGGGTCAGAAACTGTTGAAAGTCAGAAAATGAGCCACAGGTTTATGTTGATCTTCTCGACGTTGTAATATTTGGCAAATACTACGGAAGTCTGGCATGTTCTGGGAAGCCGTTCTTCTATAAGTGTGTTATAACAGATCATGGTTCGAGCTCGCAAAGTTTTGCATGACTCGAAGCTAGTTATTGTAAGGTATAACAATGAATTATCGTTTCGCGCAATGTATTTATGTGTTGTTGTTAATATTAAATAAAGACCTGTTCGATTATCCAGTATTGGTATTGGATAGAGACGATATAAAGTACATTGTTCTGCATCAGTTAAAGGAATATTTAAGACAAACACAATTCTTGTGTCTAGTTGATAGGCTTGTAATTCGATAATATCGAGATATTGAGCTAGATTTGAAGTACAGATTGATAATGGAAGATTATTTTTTTGTAATGATTGTGATATATGCCTAAGCGATTTAATTAAATCAAACTGGGTAATGATTGAGCTATGTAATATTTTTAATCGAGCAAAGGTTATGGCATTTACTATTTCATTTAAAGAGTCTTCGATAAATGAATAGCTTTCCATTAGTAATTCACAAAAGTTTAGCATATCGAATTGAGATTGATATAATTTTAATTGGTCGGAGATATCCATTGACTCTCGTATTTCATTAATATTATTGTTGAATGTTTCCTCATCTATTTGTAATTTCCGGATTGTGGCGTTAAAGTTTTTTATAACAGAAGTGGTAACCGATATTTTACTTTTTAATAAGTTTTCGATTTGATACTCATCGCGGGTTATTTTATTTATACATTCGTTGAAATATTCGCCATCTGAACGAATCTAAGTTGCCGGTAATTGATTTTCATATCGAACTATCGTTAAAGTCCGCGTTTCTCTCGGAATGTGTATTGTTTCGTATCAGGCATTATTTCTGTATATTTGAGATTAACAGTACTAGTGATTTGTTTGAGAAGACTTATGTGAGTTTGGACTTCGGATTTAAATGCCAGCATTCGAGGTACATCTTCTTCAATGGTATCCAATAAATTTTCTAAGATTTTGTCATTTTTGTCGATAACGTCTCTGATTGGTTGAATGTCTTGATATACAAGGAGGGTCCATTAGTCGTACGAAATTTTGAGATTGGTTTCTTCATGAAAAAAGATTCCAACAGTGTTTTTGATTAGAGTTAACGTATACTGGGAGAGGATGACTGGGATCAGTCCTGAGGAATCTGAAAGAAAATTACTTGTGATAGGGTTTTAATCTATCAAAATTGACTTTCATTGTTCTATTGGTTTGGTATTTAACAAAGTAGCAGAATTTACGTGAATTTCTTGGATTTTAAAAGGGCCATTAAATTTATTTTGGGATTTATCTTTAATTTGCGACTCATTGACGTAAACTTTATCGCCTATTTTATATTCTGGAGGGTTTGATGACACGTGTTGATCGAATCTTTCTTTAGCCTTTTCTTTTTGTCTTTTCGTCTTGGCTCGTGCCACTTTATAGAAATATTGCATACGATTACTTAAGTCTCTAACGTATTTTAATATAAGGATTTTTTTATTGTAAAGTATTTCGGGTGGTCTAAAAGAAGTATGTCCAAAAATGAGTTCGTATGGTATAATTCCTGGGTTTTGTTTTTTTGTATTATTGTAGCAAATAACTGTATAAGACAGAACATTGAACGGATGTTCATCGGGATTTTCAGCTTGATTAGCTTTTATCATTTCGGTTATGGTTGCGTGAAATCTTTCGATAGAACTATTAGATTGTGGATGGCCCACACTTGAGAAGGTTAGTTTTATGTCGTATAATTCACAAAGATCTTTCATCAAAGCATTGTCGAATTCACGTCCAAAGTCACAGTGTGACCTTACGAAAGTAAACGACCAAGAGGAAGACCACAGAGGAGATGGGTTGATGACATTAAAAGAATAGCCGGAACAAATTAGCCGGAAAAAAAAATGCTCAGGATAGATACCGATGGAAGGAGTTGGGAGAGGCCTATGTCCAAACATGGACGACAGAAGGCTAAGATGAAGAAGAAGAGTCACAGTGTATGCGTAATGGTGTGCTATAATGTTGAAAAAATATAATAAGATGACTGACGACTGATTTAGCTGTTTTGTCTTCAAGAGGATACGCCTGTGTGAATTTAGTGAGCTCGTCTCTGATAGTTAATGCGTAATTTCTGGTAGGATATTCGAAAAGATCTATGTTAATTCTTTCGAACGGTGTTTTAGGTGTTTCGGTGATGATTAAAGGGTTACTTGAGTTTTTTTTACAGATCTTTACCTTTTGACAGATTTCGCAATTTTTATAAAATTTTCTACATCCTTTTGATGCCTTGCCAATTATACTTTTCTTTTATTCTTCGTATAGTCTCATTTATACCCGTTGGAGATTGCTTTTGCCACGGTGATAATGATCTAGTATTTGGGGTATTTCATCCTTTTCCAGAGTTTTAATAACATCTTGACAGATTCTCAGTTTTATATCTCTATCGGCAAAGATAAAGGAAAATACTTCCAGAATTGGTAATTCTAGTTGATTTTCGACGTAATAGGTTTGCGATAGGTTAAATTCATTTTGTGCGATATAAACGATATAGAATACATGTTGTACTACTGTTTCGGAATCAAAACGAAGGGGAATGATAAAATATTTTCGATTTTTGACATACCGAATATATTAATCTTTGACAAGTTAAAATCTATATTGTTTTCATCGTAGACGTCGTCTAATATTTTGTGATGTATTTCTTTCATTTCAGTTTGTTTAAAAAGGTGATGATGCTCTTATGCGATTTGTCTAATAATTGATCATTGGATATTTCAATTTTAGAATAATCAATGAGTGATTTAGTTTTATACACTTCGACAAATATATTAAACTGTTCAGTGATTTCTTCTTCATTGATTTCATTTGGCTCTTCGTCAGATTCCGTATCATGCGAAGCTAATATTTATTTTTCTTATGAAAATTCGCACATTCTTTAAAATGATTGATTTTAATTCGAGAAAGGGAGTCCGCATTTTTGTTGGTTTATCCCGGTTTATGAATGATTTTATAATTGTATTCCTGAAGCTTAAGACGCCATCTTGCTAGTCTGCTTCCAGGGTCTTTTATAGAAAATAACCAGGTAAGTGGACGGTGATCAGTTACTAACTGATCACCGTCCACTTACCTGGTTATTGAATTTTCTTCCGAACAGATAGGGTCGAAACTGTTTTACAGCCCATACGATGGCAATATGGTATAGGAAGATCTTTTCCAATGGGGCCTTGGGATAATATCGGCCTATCGTTCGAAAAATTAGGATTCTTATGTATTACAGAAGGGCGTACTTGTGAATTATTTGATTTGGTGTGAATTGAGGTCTTTGTTGGTCATTAGGTCTATTGTTTTGGATTAGAAATTATTATTTGAACTGAAAGTTGGTCTCTGAAAGCCATTGTTTTGAGGGTTATTAAAGTTTTGGTGGCTATTAAAATTTCGGGAATTGCTAAAATTATGGGATTTGTTGGAATTTTGTGAGTTGTTTTGGGAATTTAGTCTAGAACGACATTCATTGTATGAGTGGCCCATACGTTCACAAAATGTGCATCTATGTGGTTGAAGATTTCGTCTTGAAGATGGGTTGATTGTTTTAATTGAGTTTTGGAAGATTGGATCTATTGATTTTCTATATATTGAAATAGGATAATTGTAACTCTCGTCTGATGCGGACTTGAGCTTCAAGAAGGTCTTTTGGATTAACAGCACGCATAATATGAGCGATTTTTTTGATTAAGGCCTGTCAATAAGGTATTCATCGCCATTGATTCGATTAATACAATTTGGGCCTGTTTCTCTACAGCAGAGAGGTTAGATTTCTGTATGTTAGCA